TGAACCCATGAACTACAAGATCATCACCTGAGCCGAAGTCAGACGCTTTACCAACTGAGCCACCCAGGCACCCAATAATAAAATTTTAAAAAGTCTATTAATAAAGGAAGAAAAATTAATCACCATCATAAAAATAAACAGTATTATATAGCAATTAAGGAAATGAACTTGATCTGAAAGAATCAACACTGACAAATTTTAAAAACTGAACTGGAAAAAACAGGTATGCAGGATACATAGTAAAATACCATTTGTGTAAAGTTTTAAAACAAAACAATAGTATAAGTAGCACATAGACATACACAAATATATAGTAAAAGTACAAAACCAGAATCAAAAGAATACGCTCCAACTTCAGGATATTGATTACGTTACCTTTAGGAAGGGAAGGAGAAAAACAGGAGTCAGAAAGATATACAAAGGGGGCCTTAACTATATCTGTAACATTTTATTTCTTAAAAATGAAATCTGCAGCAAACATGTAAAATGTAGCATTTGTTAAATCAGGGTGTGGAGAGGGTGGAATCATAGTATTCAGTTTTATTTTTCCTGTAAGTTTGAAGTATTTCTTACTTAAAGTTTTTAAAAGTCTATATTCCAGGGAAATTTCCCCCAACTGTAGCACAATTGTGAGACACCACTCCACAGAAACTTAGATGAGGATCACAAATGTTTAGATAAGTAGCGATTGAGAAGGAAGGACCCAAATCTGTTTGCCCCAATGTTCTCTATAATTTGAGTGCGGTAAAGAGGTGAAGAGAATACAGAGAAGAAATATATATATATATAATATATAATATAATATAGATATAGATATAACATATATATTATATATAATATATAAACTAACCCCAAACTGACACTATTCACGTAAAGCAAACTGGCTGGTTTCACTGCCCAGGCATTGGGCTTTATTTTTCACTCTCCAATTTCTTCCCTTCTCCCAAATAATCTCATGAAAATTGAACTACTAAATAACAAAAAGAAGGTAGACAGAAGCAGCAGCACAAATACTTCCTATATCATAGAAAGGATGTTTCAACTATTAAAAACGTAACTGTTGGGAAATATAATTATTTTGCTGTTCTTTAAAAACAAGTTACTTGGCCTATTATACCATTCTCCAAAAATTCACTGAGAAAAGTCACACTTTCTTTCCAGCAATATATTTTCTCTCTAGTCATACGGCTCTGTGGAGCAACAAAAGATGTGTTATACACCAAAACCTTTCATGTTTACTATGTTCTTGCTCTCATATTACCACCGTATTAAACATGAGGTTGCTACTAATACAAGACTGCAGCAAAAAAAAACACTTGTGGAGGGGGTGGGGGAAGAGGAGAATGTAGTTTCACACTTTCAAAAGACAAGGAAAGATAAAACATCTAATTTCCAGTTTATAGGATCTGGGAACAAATTAAATGTCACCACAAAAGGAAACAATTCAGACAATAACACAACATGGGATATTCAATATCTGAGTATAGGCTCTTCCAAAGGTAATGTGCACAGAAAGATTTTTACAAGAATGAATGTTCATAGATTTATCCATGACAACCACCACCTGGTAACAATCCAAATAATCATCAGTAAAAAGAATGGCTAAAAAATGTTGCAGTATACACATACAATAGAATACAACTCCTCAATATAAAGGAACAAACTACTGATACACACAGTCACATGGATGAATCTCAAAAATATGCTGAGCAAAAGAAGCCAGACACAAAATTTACAAACTATATGGCTCCATTTAATACGAAGTTCACGTACTGGCAAACTCATCTATAGTAACAGAAATCAGAATAGTAGTTCCCTCTGCAGGGGGCTTGACAGGAACAAGGGAATTTCATGACTTGATAGAAGTATTCTAAATCTTGACCCAAGTATGATTACATGAGTGTAAACATTTATCTAAATCCACTAGAGGGGAAGAAAGGAAAGATCATGGGGAATGAAAAAGTAGAACAGTTCTATACTAAAATGGACTTAAAAGACCTAACAACCAAATGTAACACGTAAACCTTGATTGGATGCCCGTTTTTAAAAATTACCTATGCAAGTTATTTTTGGGACAACTGGGAAGACTTGAATATGGGCTAGATATTAAGAAATTGTCACTCATTGTTTTAGGTGTGATAGATAATAGCATGGTGGTTATGTAGAACAACGTCCTTGTTTTTAGAAGATGTTGAAGTGATTAGGAGTGGCGTACCATGATACCAACAATTTACTTCCAAATTTTCAGCAAAAGAGCCACATTTATTTTATACATACACACACATACGTACAGATAAATCAAATTAATGTTCATAGGTCGTGGCATAGGTTTTCATTGTACTATTCTTTCAACTACCCTGTATCCTTGAAAAATGTCAATAAAAAGCTGGAAAGTAAAGATGACAACTTTTATAGATAACAGAGTGATCTCTGAGATATATTACGTGAAGGGAAAAAAAGCAAATGTGCAGAATAGTTTATGTAATATGCTACCTACTATATTAAGAACCAAAGAAAAAATATATGTGAGGGGAATTGTATGTGTGTATGTGTATATGTATGTGTATCTGTTTGGTTATATTATAAAAGGAGATACTAGAAGAATAAATCTGAAACCAGTAAAAATGATTACCTACAGCAGATGAGTATGGATGGGAAGTAGGTTTGAGGAGACAGGGCTGGATGTGAAACTGCTCTGAGTACATCATTTTATGGGTCTTGACTTTTATACCATGTAAACATAAAAAATTAAGTTGAAAAGAAGAAATTAAAATGTAAAAGATGTTAAAAATATCTCTGGTCATATAATTCATCTTTTCAATCAAAGCCCAATTAATCAAGCTTAACTTGAATGGTTGCTAATGATCATTTTTTCTCCTTCTGAGCATCAGAGCTATTTAATAGCTTTTTGCTGGTCAGAAAAATTAGCATCTTGTTGCAGATCTACCCCTAAATAGTTGTGCAACTGTAAACAAATAACTAGCCATGCTAAGCTTCACCTGTACAAAGGAATAAATCGAATGATATCTGGGATCTTTGGAACTGTAAAATTCTGTGACTCAAGTGTTTGATGAAAAAAGTTACATAGGGATGTTTCCACCTGCCTAATTTCTTTAGCCTCAATGAACACAAGGTCCATTACACAGTCATTCACCTCCTGCAGTACAACCAATACCAAGAAAGAAAGGGTACTGAAATTAAATATATTTCTGCAACTCCTTCAGGCAGTAATCAGTCACAACAAAGTACTTCCTCCTAAAGATGGGTACTGTTAAAGGAAGGGGAGCAGCAGCCAGTTGGTGGTGCAACTGCACTCGCTGGGCATCTACACCCCACTGGTTAGCAGCAGAGGAAGCAGCAGCCAGTAACAAAGTCTGGTGAGGCTGCACGGCCAAGCGAGCGGTTTAGGAAGCTAGGACGCTTCTTATATTCTTTTGCTAAAGGAATCTTACTTTACAAAAAAGTTGCTCGACTTTGGCAGCTGTGGGATGAAAACATCTGAAGCTAGGGCTGTGGCTTCCCACACAGCAAAGTAAAATCTCTGCAGGCTTAGATAAACCAAGAGTGCCAGAAACTTTCTTTCCCTCCACCCTCTGCCTCACACTTTGCCCTACCCAGGCTTGCCTTCTTTAAGACCTAACAAAAGACCTAGAAGAGTCTTGTGACTTGGAGTTTCAGGGACAGTGTTGCAGAGGCCTCATTCTAATTCGAGGAAGGACAGCCAGGAGAGCAGGGGTGGCCAAGGGTGGGTTAAGTCCAGAGAGAGGCCTGCAGGCAGGGTGTGCAGGGTGTGCAGGAAGCAAGTGGGGAGGACTTCTCCGGGCAGCACTCAGAAGCCTGGTGTTGGGATATTTAAAGACACTCACATACACATACCTGCCCCCAGTGTTGCTGGGAGATCAGAGTTGAGACATAAGAGGGCTTAGGAGGGGTGGAAGGAGAGAAAGGGGGCCGAGTGGGGAATTTTGGTTCCAAGCTGCTCGCAGGTCTACAATGGGGGTATGGAAAGGCTCTCTGGGATTTCCTCTAAAAGAGACAAGCTGGAGCTTTCATCTGAAGACGAAAACGAGAGGACTCTGTAAAGAATAAAGAGGAAGTAGTTTTAAAACCTGCGGAAGGGTCTTCCGAGATGATTAAAAGGGATGGAGTTTTCTCATACCATGGAGAGATCCAACCCCTTCCCCTGAGGAAGCACAAGGGGGTTCAATGCCTCAGCTGGATTTCCACAGCAGGTTGGGGGACAGGATCCTCTCGAGCCAATCTGGAGACTGACTGGGGGTGGGGTTGCTGCTCCTCTCCAGCAAGTTCACAGAGTGAGCAGTTTCTCTGTTAAAAGCTGTTGCGTTTCTTGGCGTGACAGGAAGGATAAGGGATAAGGGATCCCTCTCACAGCCAGGAGGGTCCTGAAATGATTTCTGAGGACAAGGCAGGGTGCTTTGTGCAGTGCTGACACAGTTCAGTTGCTGGGTGTGAGGATTCCACACTGAAGACTGAGAGTAAAGGCCCCTTCACGAATCAGAAGCTTGAAATTTGTCCGAAAGAACCTGCCCGCCGTGATTTGAGAGGAAACGTACCCCCTTGGAGACTGGGGAGAGAGGGGGCCAGTAATACTCTTTCTAAGAGAAGAGGAATGTAAAGAGAAGCCTACCACCCGATCCACTGGAAAGTTAGGGGCAGGGCGAGGAGGCCTTTGGAAGAGGAAGTGGTTTGTAAATGATCTGAAGGAACCCCAACTGGAAGCTGGGATACAGCGAGAACGGAGGTGGGGGTGGGGACGGTCAGAGCTCTGCGTGGCTGGAGTGGGAGGGCGTTCAGGATTTTGCAGAGGGAGGAGACCCAGGGGCCACGGGTCAAGGCTCCCGAGGGATGATTCACAGGCTAACGTAGCTTTTGAGGTGACTCGGGCTTCAAGGAGATGAACGAGGGAAGCGTCCCCGAGTAAACGCCGGAGACTCGGTGACACCCAGGCGGCGGGGGTTGTGGGGGCGACCGGTACTCACGGAGCGGATCTCCAGCGCCAGAGCGCACTGCAGCGCCTTCACCTTCGGCATCCGCGCGGGGTGGGGCGGCGGGGACGGACCCCGGCCGCGGGCCCGAGTGAGGCGAGGAGACGCGGGGCGGGGCGGGGACGGGGAGGAGACGAGGTGGCGGCGGTGGCAGCTATGGCCCCCAGGCCGGGGCCCGCGGTCCAGCCTGGGTCCCGCCGGAGCAGAAGCTGTGCGCGGGGCGTGGACTCGTTGTCATGGCAGCCAAGAGGGGCGGGGCCGGAAGAGAGGCCGGACGGGGACGCGCGGGAGCCGCCACTCCTCGGCGAGCGGCTAGGGGCGGGGCTCAGAGAACGCCTGAGGCGGGACCACGCGAGGAGGCGTGGCTTCCGAAGGAGTGGGGTGGGGCGGGGCTGTTCTGTGACATCAAAAGATGGGCGCACATTTGGGCGCCTGGGTGGCGCAGTCGATTAGGCGTCCGACTTCAGCCAGGTCACGATCTTGTGGTCCGTGAGTTCGAGCCCCGCGTCAGGCTCTGGGCTGATGGCTTGGAGCCTGGAGCCTGTTTCCGATTCTGTGTCTCCCTCTCTCTCTGCCCCTCCCCCGTTCATGCTCTGTCTCTCTCTGTCCCAAAAATAAATAAAAACGTTGAAAAAAAAATTAAAAAAAAAAAAAGATGGGCGCACAGCTGGACAAAAGCGAGAATAGCCTGGGGTTTGTGTAGTGGGACAGTGCCGAGGTCAGGGAGCTGGACACAGGAGCCCTGAGTTCCAACGTGGCGATGACACCGTGGGCTACTGGAGTCCCAGTGAGGCCTCAGTTTCCACCACTGTAAAAGAATAATAATTAATGTTGGTTTTCTTTTTTTTTTTTTTAATGTTGGTTTTCTATTTGAATTTCACAGTACAGTTTACAAAGCCAGCATGAGGAAATTGAGGATTAGAGAAGAGTCTTGCCCAAGTTGAAGAGAGAACCAGGACTGGAACTCAGGACCTTTCATGTAAAACCCCAATTGCGTCCCTGACAATTGGGGCTTGAATCAGATCATCATGTTCCTCTTCCTAGACTCCTACTCTATGATTCTATTAGTGCATCCCCCTCTCTCTTCAAGGTTCCCTAATCCACTGTGTATGCTTAAATTGAACTGTCAATGCAGGGCCAACAATAAATCCAGTTGGGAAGGGCTTGGGCCATAAACCATCAAAGATTAAAAGAACCGAAGAGATTGGCCCAATCCAGTCATTTTAAAAATCATTTTTAGTGTGAAATATATTACACATACAGAAATGTATAAAACACGTTCATCTTAAACAATAAAGCAAATCACTGTGCAACTAATACCTAGATTAAGAAATAAAGCATTACTAGAACCTTAGAAATGCCCCCAGCCTTTGCATTGCCTTCCCTGCCCTGGAAGTAACTGCTACCCTGACTTTTGTTACAATAATTCCCTTCTCTTTCGAAGTACTTTTGCTATTCAAGTATGCATTCCTAAACTAGACGTTTTTGTTTCCTGCTATTGATGCTTTATCAGTGAAATTAACACTATTCGTGTTTTCCTGTGACTTGCTTCTGTCATTTACTATTATGTTGTGAGACTCACCCAATATTGATGCTGTATAGCAGATTTTTTCCATTGTTGGCTAGTACTCCAATATATGAATATTTATTTATTTATTCTTTTAACTATTGATGGTCACTTGCACTGATTCCATTTTTAGCTATTATTCACGTGTTGTTATGAACATTCTAATACATGTCTACTAGAGCGCATGCATGCTCCAGTGGGAGTGGATTGACTCGGTATTAGGTTTTGCACATGGGATTTTAATTAGTGATGCCACACCGTTTTCCAAAGTAGTTGTACCAATTTATGTTCCTGCCGAGAGTGTATAAGAGTTCTTATTTTCCCACGTCTTCACCAACATTTGGTATTGTTTAGGTGTTTAATGTTTGTATATTTGGGTGTATGTAGTCCAAGTATCTCATTGTGGATTTACTTTGCATCTCTTCTTACTATTGAGATTCAGCATCTTTTCATGGTTTTATTAGTCTTGCCATGTTCTCTTTGTGAACTGCCTACTAGTTCTCTTCCTATTTTATTAGATGGTCTCTCACTCACTCTCTCTTGCTCTCTTGCTCTCTCTGTCTCTCTCTTTCTCACTGATTTATAGGAGTTCTTTATATATCCTGGATGCTAATTCTTCATCTATATTACACGTGTTACAACCACGTGTTACAACCAGTGTGTGCTTAAGTTTTTAAATTTTCCATATAGGGTGTGACGAACAGAAGAGAAACTACATCAAGGAGTATGAATATTCGTAGTTTGACCAAATAATTCCAAGTTGCTATCCAGAATGCCACACCAGTCTACACTCCCACCATCCAGTGAATCTTCCATTTCAGTTAACATATTATTCAGTTCTAAAATTTCCATGTTGTCTTTTTCATTAGTTTTCACATGACTGCTGAGATTCCCTATTTGTTTACTCATTAGGGCTCTATTTTCCTATCCCCTTTGACTATATCTTTATTTCTTTGAAAATATTTACAATAGCTGCCTTAAAGTCTATATATGTTATATCCAACATCAGTGCCATTTCTGCTTCTCCTATCTACATGTTTTCATAACTATACGCTGTATTTTCCTGTTTCTATGTCTAGTGCTTTTTATTATTGAATACTAGATATTTAATAATGCCCTATAAGAACATGGATTCTATGATCTTTCTCTAAAGACTATTGATTCTTATTTTAGTAGGCAGTTTAATTATGGGGCGATTACCTCAAACTTGTGCAGACTTAGTGATATACTTTGCTAGTGCAGATATGTGGAAAGCCCAAGATGTTCTTAAAGCCCATCTACCTTGGTAGGTCCCAACTTCCAAACTCTGTCTCTCCCAAACTTTGTCAGCCTTCGTTGTAGACTTTGTTAACGTGAGCCTAGTGCAGGCCTAACTATAGGATATGGTTCTTTCTGCTGGAGTGCAGACTTTCTGAGGTATCAGCTGGATTCCAGGAGTGTTATACAAAGTGTTAAAAAGATCTCTCCCCAGTGGAATGTTCAGCACTCCAATGTCCCCAGTACTGTCTGATCCCAAGCATCTCTGTTCTGCTCCCAACACTAAAGCAGCTGCTGACTGGCATGTCTCTGGTCATCTCATCCTGTGTATGTAAAGCTCACCCCTCAGCCTTGAAGTTTTGGGGAAACACCTCATAGGTTTCTGGGCTCTCTCTGCACAGTGCCTGTCTTTGTCAGTTTGGGCTAACAGAACACCATAGCCACCACAGTGCCTTATAAACAATAGAAATTTATTTCTCACAGTTCTGGAAGCTGGAAGTCAAGACCAGGGTGCCAGCACACTTGAGTTCTGGTGAGAGCCCTCTTCTGAGCTGCAGATGGCCCTTTTCTCATTTTATCCTCACAAAGTGAAGAGGGTGAGAAAGCTCTCTGGGGTGTCTCTTATAAGAACACTAACTTCATGAGAGCTCCACCTGCATGACCTAATTACCAACCCAAGGCCCCACCTACAGCTACCACCACCTTGGGGGGTAGGATTCCAACATATGAATTTGGAAGGGACACGAACAGTCAGTCTATAGCAACTAATTTAAAGATGTTCTCCCTCCATTGTAGCCTTCAAGTTTCAGCCTCATACAAAAATTCAGCTGCCAATTTCTAAACCCCAAGCATGAAATTTTGGGTAAAAATTCGAATTGGCCTGAGTGGCAGCATTGTGAATGGCATCACTATAATTAATGATGTCCCAGGAAGATTTATAATCACAGGTTACAGATAAAACAGAACTAGTACGCTTCTGCACTTCCCCTCCTTTTATCCTTTACTAATTTTATGGGAAATAAGTCCAATAAAAAATATAAGCTCTTAATCTTTCCCAGAAATCCTACCTCATTTGATGAATACTTTGAGGGAATAAATTAGAGTCTTTTTTTCTTTTATACAGCCTACTTTGCATTTCTGAAGTGAGGATGGTAACTCAGGTTCCCTGGCCAAATGGTCAGAAGGTTAGAAGCCTTTTTAAAGACTTCTATTGTCTTCCCTTCATGTTCAGTCTCCATAAGGTAATTGATTTCCAACAAAGTCAGTGTCTTCATTAGTCATAGGACTATTAACAATAAGAACAGCCACAGTAACCATTCAGTGACAGTTCATTATATATCAGGCATTGTACAAGTTACTTTAAGTAGATAATTATACACCTTACACATCTCTACAAGCAAAGTATTGGTATCCCCATTCAATAAATGAGGAAACAAGGTCACAGTAAATTAACGTGCCCACACTCACCCAGGTAGTACCTGGCACAGCAGGAACTTGAACCTAAGTCTGCTCTTCTCCTGCTATAAAATGCTGCGTCTCGTTATTTATTGTTTTATTATTATCAGTAACAAAATACCAATCGGTTTAAGAAACAATACAACCCAATAAATATAATAGCAATAATTGTTATATTAATAGAGGTTGTATATAATATGCCATTATCTTGCATTTGAAAAGATATTTCTGTTCCTGAAAACATGTTTCTGTCATTTAAATTGATTCTCAGGATGATTCTATATATTTTAAAGTGCAACTATTTCTAAACTTCTAACACTTGATGGTGGGCTTATTTGTCACTGAGAATGGTATGGAAACTTTAAGAGAAATAAGACTTTAAAAATCTCTGATATAGTTTGAAATAAACACATAAAGCAGGAATCACCCTATAATAAGAATTTTTTTATATTGGGTAAACTATAATTAAAAAAAAGAATTTTCTTTTATGAATTGTACCTCTTGGAAAAATGTTCGAGCTTGAAATGTACTATGTAACTCAAATAACACATACCCAGAAGACCATTTTGTTTTATTAATCTTGTCTCTCTATGTATGATATGCTAGTCCAGTCAATAATAACTAGGTCTCCATTCTTCTGATTGAGTCTTAGAAAGTAACAAGTAAATGAGGAATCATTTCCCATTTCTTGTATAACATCTTTATGGAATATGGATGTGTAATAGGCCAGCTTGCTGGGAGGAGGGAGTATGAGGACGTACTATAAAAGTTCTGAGCCCTAGTTGCAAATTGGGTCTGCTGGAATTGGGCATTGCTTCTAGCCTGGTGGATGGCCTCCTGAGATTCGACCCTACTGTCTCCATTTCAGGAAAGAAAGGGCCTAGGCCCTCTGCACAAGGCTGCCTAGAGGGCTAGAAGCATTGCAATGACCGTAAACTACATCCATCCTAGGGAAGAGTTTCTGCATGAAGGGTCCTCTCGTGGTGTTGGAGCCACATAGTTGTGGGAGGAAGGTGATTCCGACGTAGATACCATTTATTTCTTTCCATAACTAATAAGCTGTAAGCACCTGGAATACTGACTACTTGTGCTAAACTGACCAATGGTCTCCTGAAAATGTCTATATCCGAATTCCCAGAACCTGTGAATCCTACTCTCTATGGCAAAAAAGGATTTTATAGATGTGAACAAGATAATGACCTTGAAATGGGGAGCTTATCCTGGTTTATACAGGTGGCCTTGGTGTAATCACAAGAGAACCAGGAGGAGTCAGCATCAGAAAGAGGGTAACGTGATAATGGAAGCAGAGGGAGAGAGATGATGTGATGTGGGGCCATGAGTCAAAAAATGAGGACAGCCTTGAGAGACTGGGAAAGGCAAGGAATGGATTCTCACCTAGAGACTCCAGAGGAACCAGCCCTGCCAACACCTTGATTTTAGCTCCGTGAGATTCGTTTCAGACTTCTGACCTCCAGAAGATAACTATATTATTATAAGATTATAATTATAATTATTATAAGATAATGAAGTTGTGTGTTAATCCACTAAGTTTGTGGTAATTTGTTACAGCAGCATTGGGAAGCTACTTGATCTAGTAAGAATCTGCAGGTGAGTTAGAATTTAAACAAGCTGATTGTAAGTTTCGTAAACTAGTCCAGAATTAATTTTGCAACAGAAATTACAAATTTAAAAATCATGACACAAATAATGACCTGAGAGGACTTTTTTTTTTCCTTTCCCCTCAGAGGCCTTCTTGGATCATGCTCAGGAAATGAACTAGTCCTCTGCAATGTCTGTTGGGAATGGGTTTCTCAGCACACTGATAAGCAGCCCCTTTCAGTCCTTTCTGGGCCACCTGCAAATTTCAACAAAATTAAATTCTAATACCGGTCCTTGAAAATGTATCAGGGCTATTAATTGAGAGTGAGCACAAAAAACATGAGGGCATATTGGCACCAAGTGACTCCCACCCCTGGGTATTCCATTCTGGACATTCTTCCCCAAACAGCTGTGGCTGCCAATGCCTTTGTGTGTCTCC